AAGGGGTTTGTAGGGGGATTATGGAACAAAAGGATCCTTCTCTGTCATCAAAGAGGATCTGCTCCCAACTCATCCCCTGCTCTGTGGCGACAGCTTTTTATTTTTCGGGAGAGAGGGAATGACGGCTGCAGGGAGGAGGGAGGGTGGGCTATAAGTGGGAGAGTTTGATGGTAGGGGATGCAGATTTCAAAGTAATCTTTAACTCTAAGCCCTGCAGACCCTGTGAAATGAAACTCTCTGCCCCAGCCACAGTGTTGCCTATGGCTCCCAGTGGAAGCCTGCCACCCCTCCTCTTTCTCAAGCTTTTGTCACGGTGGCATTTAAGTGGCATTACTCACTGACTGGATGACCCAAATGAAGGAATCCCTTTGAGAGAACTGAAAGAGATGGATTTTAACTCCTGGGACCAGTGTCGCCTCTTAAAACAACACTAAGTACAGATAAATACCCACTGTGTTATTGGGATCCAGCAGATACCTAATCTAAATGGAGACATTTTCTTGAATCATAAGTGAATTGACTTTTATAAAACATGTGAAATTAGAAGAGAGAAGAGAATGTGTTTGGGGGAATAATTTATATAAAACAAATCCACAGAAATTCAATAATACATTCTTTTATTGCACACTTCCCTGTAGCCTAAGACCTGGGCGTGGACCAAGTCATTAGTGGAGTTCACATCTTCTTGCATTTTTTATGACTTTGAAAAGCAAACTTAAGCCTATGTGATGCTTTAAGGGCCCAGGAGGTCATCTGCACTTCCATTGTCTCACTACTTTACAACAATGGTTATTTTGGCCCCCTACCCCAAAGTTATTTCTCTCATCTTGTGAAGGCTCATGTCCCCTCAGGGTCATTGGCCTGGGATCCCCTGCTGACCTGGTCCACCACAGGGAGTCAATGTAATGACAGAAGAGGTGGTTATGGGAAAAACAGGTTCTGTCACTGGCACAATAGGTAGTGTTGGTAATGACGGTGATGGCACAAGAGGATTATAATAAATCAGTCACACACAGACAGCTCGACACATACACACAGTACACATACTATATACCTGTTTGCACAGTAGCTTCCAAGCACCTTGTCATATGAATAATATCAGAGCAGGAAACAAACGTGGGAGGAGAGTAGGGGAGGATACTGCTATAATGAGCAATCTTCCTATTATTCAAGTCAGTGTTTGCCAATGTTTTCATCAGCAAGACCAGTTAAAGTGCTCTTTCAGTGATTTTAAGCCTTCTTTTCTGGGCAAACATTTTGTCATGGCATGACATGTCTGTACAAGCAGGAGGCTGAAGTGCATTAAAAAAATTGTAGAGTTACATAAAAAAGGTTCATTTTGTAAAACAAACAAAAACAAGCTTCACACATACTGTATCCAAACCTATGTATTAGTTTGCTTTTACTCCATAGGCTGTAGATATAGTTGAAAGGATTTATGGACTACAGACAGTAAAGTAAACTTTTTTGCAGCAGAGATTTTGAGTCATAGTAGGAATGGCTCTGACCCAGTAAGCATAGCAGTGTGACAGCGAGTCAGCATGCACAATACCAGGATGCTGAAACTGAAGCAGCTTAATGGAATTCAGCCATCATAAATAGTGTTATTTACACCTGTGACATGAAATGATCTTTTGGCTAACTGAGCCCAAGACTGGGACTTTAATGTGTGATATACTCTCAGAAATTGCACTGGGTGGTCACATATTGGAACCCAATGCAATATCACTAGTTAGAGCCATACCTCCATGTGCACAAGTACCGACTAAAGGATCTATAAGGATGGCTAAGCACATAGACACAAATAAACAGAGTTCCCTTTTTAGTATTCTGACCAGACTAAGTGTGTGTTCCCTCTGTAGCCAGAGGATTACATTACATAAGTGAGGGAACTTAAGGTGCTTGCTTCAGTTTCAGGTCTGTACTTTATCATACACATTAGCCAGGTGAGAATGAGCGAGAACAGGGCGAGAACACTGGCAGCAAACAAACAGACAGGACCGACGGGAGGCGTCGTGTTATTGAAGTTGTGTACAAAAATGAGGCCCAGAAATAAGAGCACCACCATGGACAGGAAGGAGAAGATGGCGCACGCACAGCCGGTCGCAAACGCAACCTGTTTGCAAGTCTGACAGCTGTCGTCGCCCTCTTGGGAGGCGACCAAAGAGACGGCCGGACCCGTCTGGACATCTGTGTTTGATAAGTTCACGGGCTCTTGCGTTTGAAGCGGGAGCGCATCGGTCATTGCGGTGTTGTCGGGGAGGTTGTGAACCCGATATTCCGGTACCGGAGTTCGGTGGCGACACAAGGGGCAGCCGATTCTCCATCCTCGACCCTCCCGGGAGTGCAGAGCGTCGAGGCATTGCAGGCAGAAGGTGTGCGAACAGCCCAGCAGTTTGGGAGTGTGGAGGTCCAGGTCGAAGTAGTTGTAGCATATTTTGCACTCGTATTCCTCACTGGGGAACGAGTCACTCGCGTCAGGCGGAGCGGAGCCAAGATCGCCTCCCGCATCGACCGCCTCCGCCATGTTCCGTCTAACTGGGCAAAGGAAAGTGCTTCATCTTACACTGATGATCAAATTCCCAGAGCATACTGATGACAATTTCTGGAGGAGAAAATGGCCAGGTGGAAATAAAAACGTATTAAAGTGAGAAAGATTATCTCTGCATCCCCCGGTATGAGTCAGTCCCGCCAGCTGTCGCAGCTCTATCCGGTTTTGTGATCACACACGTGTTGTGTAACCGGCCCGGGGTATAACCCGTGGACAGGGACAGACTATAGCCTTTATTGCGATCATATTACCAGAACTAAACCTCCGTTTACCGCAAAAAACAAAAACCCCCAAAAAACCCCTGTCGATAGACTAGTGCAAATTGATTTCCCAACTTGGTGTTTGCCACCTGGTTGATTTGTCACAAGAGTGGGTCATGTGTACAAGGTGGATTTAATAGGCCTATTTAACCGTATAATCAGAATTTAGCGCCTGCAGCGACAGAAAAGTGCGCCATGGTTTTTGTCCCTCTGCCTTTCAGCACCACAGGCAGTGGACAGCTCCGAGCAGCGCCGTGACACCTCCAGCTGCAGCTCACCGCCCTGCAGTCCTTCATCTTCATACGCTTTAGGCTAAACACCAATGCCCATATGTAGATACCAGTCTATATGTTTGATCTGTTTCCCTCTTGCATTTGCAAAATGCTGTTCCCCTTTCGTGCAAGTGGTACATGGCCTCATCTTCTACATACTTCCACAGATTTCTTTACTTCCCATAGCTCAGTAACCACATATGACCATATTTCAGCTAAAATGTGATTCCACATTTACAAACGGTGCCTTGACTGAATTTTTTTTTTGTATTTTTGTTACCATTTCTTTCATAGGCAAGCCATGACTCAGATAGACCTGTCTTACATAACTTAATGTTTGTAGTCCAGAAAATCATGGGGTGGGATGAGAACCAGAGGGGCATTTGACCAACTTTACAGGCGAGCCAGAATAGAAAATGGCCATACTTTGTCCTGACTGTGTTTGTTTAAAATCAACCTTTTATATTAAAACTTCAAAACATTTGGATGACAATATATATATATATATATATATATATATATTTAAACCTTTTTTTAAAACTAGTTTTTAAGTGCACTTCTGCCCTTTTTAGCTCCAAATAGTTCAGCAAGCTCTTTT